ACCACAACCACAACCGCAACCACAACGGCCGCGGACACGGCAGCAGCAGAACCACAACAAACACAAAGTGTAGCGGCGGAGATCAGAATCGCTGGTCACGCTGCGGAAACTGATTGTGATAAAACACGCACTGCATCTAATCTCCTTTCAATGTTGGAAACTCTCGTGAAATTTACGCCTCGGCTCTGTGCACGGCAGTTTCAGGCAACACCACAACCGAGAACCCTAAATTGTAGTAGGAAGCCGATGCCGGTGACGGCATGCAGCAACCCTGCGCAAGCCTGCTTCTGGAAAGCCTTCTCGTTCTGATCCATGTTGTTAGCCTGAAGGTCTTGTAACTAGAGGACCAGGGCAGCAACTAGGGTGACTATCATCCCTGACGGGACTCCGACAACATTGCAAAGTGCTCCAGACTGTTCTTGAAACTGCCAAGGCCCTTGCAAGTAGCGCGCGGACGGAAGAGGTCGATACAAGCCCGTTGCTTTGAGCCGCAGACCGGCCATCGAACAGGGAGTGACGCACCATCCGAGTGTTCCAAGCATTGCGCGGCACGAAAGCAAAGACCCAAATTCCACAGAGCAATCATTGTTTGCGACGTTCCGCAAAGCCAAGCTTGATTCCTAAACGCTACGAACCCAAAAATCTGGTCGCTGGAAGAGACGCTGCAAGACTCGTTTGCCGAGCGGAAAATGTGCTTGAGTGCCTACGGGGCACCTTTGTACAACAGTCAGCAAGTCACTCGACTTGGCCTTGCACCGGCCTCCAAATTAGCCGGCCGCGCCTCACTCGACCTTTTCCCCCTCCTTTTCCCTTTCCCTTGCCCTTGCTTCTGGAACTGCCTCTGCTGGAAGAAACCCTCTCGTTGGGAGAGGCAGTTGCTTCTTCAATTGCGCTGGGCCAATCAACGGGACTGGAAGGGGAGTAGGCTTGGCTTTCAGATTCTTGCTCCTCGAAGTGCAAGTTTGAGCTCTCGGAATCCTCGCTGTCCTCATCCAGCATCTGCCATGCCTGGTCGTCCTCCCCTCCGCCACCACCGGTGCGGAAAATGTCAGGCAGCTGCAAAGCCAGCATTCGCCGCATCCGCTGCTGCCAGAAGACCTGTCTACTGTTGGAAGATCCCTCCGGCATATCAGCCAGCAACGGGAGGCTGCGAAGGGCCCCGACATTGCTGTCCCTTTCTCATGCTCCATAGCCTTTCGAGCTTGCGGCACGAACACAACCACCAAACCTTGGCTGCAATTTGGAGTCTGGACGGCTGAAGATTCAAGGAGCTTCAATGTCTCTAAACTCCTCCCGAAGAACCTCCGTTCTGCGGCCCAGGCGACAGGGGTACGAATCGGGGAGTAACCAAAGGCCCCGTCTCCCCAAGCGGAGGGTTTAAGACGAAGACATCCTCCGCAGAGCTCAGACAGCCGAGGAGGCGCTCGAACTGAGAGCTCTGCAAGAGACTTCGCATCTCCTGGTCACAGCTTTGCAGCTTTGGGCCACGAAAGTGAACGGAGCCAAGGACGCTAGAACTAGCCATCTCGATCCGCCAGGCGGTTTTCGTTGCAATCATCAGCTGCAGTGAGTCATACCTCCTCTACCTCATGCCGTGGCGGCGGTGGTCGCGGTGGGAGGAGGGCTGGGAGTGGTGAGGGGTAGTTATTATGGTCGTCGTAGGCATAGCGGCCGGCGTACAAGCAGTTGTATAATAGGTAGCCGTAGCAGTAGCAGTAACAGCAAGCAACAAAGGCAAAAACAGCAGTGACGGGCTTAAAAGTAACAGTAGCAGTGGTAACAGTGGCAGCAGTTGTTGACGCAGCAACAGCAGCAGCAATGCTGATTGCAGGAGTCATAACTCTCGTCGTCACAACCATCATCCTGATTGTCATCATCATCATCATCATCATCACCACCGTGATCAGCATCAGCATCATTAGTATCATCATCATCATCATCATCATCATCACAAGCTGAACCGTACCCTGTCACGAGAAGTTGGAGGATCAGACGGAGCGGCAGAAGGACTACTATGCTGAGGCCAAACCGCACAACCTCAAAGAACACACCCCCAAATAACCAAGCTGAACCCAGAAAATTCCATTCTGTCCCTGCGCAGCCCAGTTTCGTACTCGACTCGTGGTCGGATACCCGGAAAGTCAGCTGCACCACCAACCTCGGAAGCTCGGGTGAGGCTTTGGGGATTACAGGCCTTCGCCGTTAAGAGAGAGGGTTCTTATGCTCTCCCCGAACGCAACATGACGTGATTTACGCAAGTGCAAAGCCGTGACGCTCCGAAGCAGCACAGCCGACCCTGCTAAATCCGACATACCAAGCATCCCACCAGAGGTAACTCCCATCACACAAGGGGCCTTAATGATTGGAATTCGATTTTGGGATCATATGATAAAAATGAAAACAGACTTACCCGGACTATCTTGTCTCAACAGAACCTCTTCTAGCAGGCCCGAGGCACCAGTACCACTTGCCGGAGCAGCTCACGGACTCCCTCCTCGCTGCTCTTCCCCGAGGCAAGCACTGCATCGGCACAGCGCACCTGGGCCGAAGCGAGACGGGAGGCGGGAGAGGGCAAAAGGTACGGCAACTGTAGCTACAAGGCGTGTAAGGCGGAGGGTTTCGAAAAGATTCCGACTCCAAGTACGGCCCAAGGTCCCTTTCAAGACATTAAACGCCACAAGGCAGCATTGACATCACCTGAAAGCCTGAAGCTTTCAAGACTTCTAAGAAGGCTTCAAGGCGCAATAAGCCCAGGGAGGCCGAGTCCTCTGTTGGATTCGAAGAGAACTTCGGGCACCAAGACACGCTCCTCCGGCTGAGAGCTGCCTACTACCATGAGACTTAGTATCTATTGCATATCTATTCCTTTACTGCCTCTTTCTACTACTTGCCACTACTTGCTACAACTGGTTGCTATGTAACACTGCGTACTTGCTGCTCCTTTTGACTACTTGTTGTAAGTACGGGTACTGCTACTGGTACTGCTACTGGTACTGGTACTACTACTAGTACCACTACCACCACCGCTACCACTACTACTACTACTACTACTACTACTACTACCACTACTACTACTACTACTACTACTACCACCACCACCACCACTACTACCACTCCTGCTGCTGCTGCTGCTCCTGCTACTCCTACTACTCCTACTCCTACTCCTACTCCTCCTACTCCTGGTGCTACTGCTACTGCTCCTGCTATTGCTACTACCTACTAAGACCTTCTACCTACTACCCAACCTGCTACCTTCTACTACTTCCCCTGCTGCTGATGCCGTACAAGCCTGTGGCAGAACTACAGCCTTCCTGGCCGTCCGGCAATCTTTTTGAACCAGAAGAACGATGAAGTCCTTCAAAAGTCGGAAACGCCCGACAACAACTGCATATCTGTTCGAAAGAAAGCTGTGGTCGAAATACAGCCCCTAAGCCCTACACTGGGCCTTGCCCTAAACCCTAAAAAATGTCACTCGGGATTCGTGTTGGAGAGCCTCCGCCAGTTCCAGGGTATTCTCCTCAGTGCGGGCCGAGGCATACTCTGGCAACTCCACCTGGACTTTTCATGGCTGCATTGTTTTGCTAAAGTAGGGGCCCTAATAACTGGAGTCGGGCTTGCTGGATATTGCAGTATAGGGACTTTGTGACTATAATTCAAGGGCTCTTTAATTACAACTTCAGACCTCCACCGTACAGGGCTCTAGGGTTTTAGGGGTCTGAAGCTCTGGATCCAACAGATGTGGAGCTGAGGACCAAGGAGCAAAGACTCCGAGGCTGAGTTTGACCACGACTCAACCCAACCTTCGCCATGGCCTCGAGACCCTCACAACCAGTAACAGAAAGAGATAAACGTCGATGCGGCGTGGCGACATAAGAAGAGCACCAAAACAGACAGGCCAGCTTACCAAGTGAAGAAGCCACACCTCAAAGCTCCAATCCTTGACCGTGAGACTTAAGCCAGCCAAAGTCTCAAATCCCGCAGTGCGAGCACTGAATCTAATGCCATCAACTCCTAAACTCTGGACTCTGAACACTCGATCCTACGCCCCAAAAAATCGCCCTACCAAACATCCCTATCAATCCTAAAACCCCTAAACCCTAGTCCTGAACCCTAAAACCCCTCAGTCCCAGGCCGGAAATTCAAAACGACACCCCACGCCCCTCAGTCCTGAACCCCTCATAAACCCCTCACTTCCAAGCCTTTACAAACTCCACCATACAAGTAGAACCCAAAGCTCTAGACCATCCAGCCCTAAACACAGACCCTTAAGCTTCAATTCCAAATCGTTCCAAAAATCAACCATGCCTGAGCCTTAGAGCCTCAAAGCCTGGAGTTTCAAGCCCAGACAAGAGGCCTCTAGACCCCTTCATGCCCTAAACACACGCCTCGATCTGAGAAGAACCGGGGCCTAAATAACTACCTAGACCAGTCTGGGGGGTTGCTGATTCTATTTGTAGTGTAATGCACCCCAAAACCCTATTCTAATTATGAAGGCCCCTACACCCTAAACCCTTATAGTAGCCCTTATAGAACCCTTTTTAAATAGTTGAATAAGCCCCAAAATAAAACCGATCCAAAACCCCCACCTCCACGGGGCGGATGCCATAGTCATCCCCGGCAGCCAGACGACTCCGCATGCAGCCATGGCCGGGTGGGGAGACGTAGCAGTAGTTCTCCTGGTTTGGGGCTCTACAGGGTTTAGGGTTTAGGGTTTGGGGGTGTGGGGGTTTAGGGGCTTAGGGCTTTAGGGGTTTAGGGTTTAGAGTTTAGGGTTTAGGGTTTGGGGGTGTGGGGGTTTAGGGGTTTAGGGCTTTAGGGGTTTAGGGTTTAGAGTTTAGGGTTTAGGGTTTGGGGGTGTGTAGGGGAGCTACTAATAATTCAAGGCTTAGAGCTCAGGGCTTTCAAGGGGCATGGGATTTAAGCTGTTTATAGCCTGAGGAATCAGCGCCGCTTACGGCTCGTAAAGTTTTTGGGGTTCAGGGTGCAGTTGTTCAGAGTCTAGTGTTTACGAGTGCCGAGTTTTATGCCTCGGGCAGTCATCACCGGAATCGTCATCTTCATCAATACCAATGTCATCGCCATCACCAATACCATTGAGCTGGATCTTCAACGGGGTTCTGACTGAACGAAAAGTGAACTGAGGCGACTTGCAACTCAGTGTTATGTGGCGCATCTTGTTGATAGCATTGTCTGGCATGTCTTCTGCAATAAATGGCCGAGCTTCCTTAAGATCTCGGCACCAGGTCATCAGGGAGCTGTCCACGATTGCAGGATGCCTCCGGCTCATGAGCGACACCATCACCTGCATTTCAGCACATCTCTGCTACCCAACTGGACCGGGCACAAAGGGCGACGCATAGCTGACGAGACACGCCGCTCGCAACGATCCTAGCTGCCCTTACATGGGGGTTTCCGAAAATAGGGGACCCTAAAAAAGTACCCTAAATAGTAGGACCCTTATTATAAGGACCCCCAAACTAAGGTACCCCTATTCTGAAACTCCCACATCCCTCCGCCTGCGTAAGGTCGCCACTTCCAATAGAAGAACTCAGCGCGCATTGAGACAGAACCTGGGCTCCGAAGGCTAAACCCTAAACCGAGACTCATAAACCCTAGACTAAGGCCCGAAACCCTAAACCGAGAATCCTAAACCCTAAACTTAGGCCCTAAACCCTAAACCGAGACTCATAAACCCTAAACTAAGGCCCTAAACCCTAAACAGAGAGAATCCTAAACCCCAAGCTTAAGGCGCTAAACCCTGAACTACAAAGTGTCCATAATCTGACCTCCCAATGCAAGTCTACCGGGAAGCAGCCCAGGTCTGGCACTTACATGGGAGTTTCCAAAAATTAGGGGTTTAGGGTTTAGGGGTTTAGGGTTTAGGGGTTAGGGTTTAGGGGTTTAGGGTTTAGGGTTTAGGGTGGTACCTTATTTGGGGGTCCTTATAATAAGGGTCCTACTATTTAGGGTACTATATTAGGGTCCCCTATTTTCGGAAACCCCCACATGGGGTTGCTTCAAACTAGGGCATCCTTTCTGAGAAGTCCTTCGTAACAATCAACCCCATGGCCCTACTGCTATCATACTATGTGGGAGTCCATTCTGGGGTCCCTTAATTTTCTAGAATCTCCCACCTGTATCAAAATGAATCCCAAGTCATCCCCTGCGAAACTGGAATTCTACCCGAAAAGGCCGGGCCACTTCCCCCTTGACCACCGGGAGTGCGACCGTCTGCCCCTGCCCGATGTTGACGACGATGCCATGATCCACTCCATGTGCCCACAATGCCTAGGTGTCCGGGTGTTCGTGACTGGGCCGTGCAATCGATTGTGATCCCACCCTACACGATGATCAGGTAGCATCAGGAACACAACACTAGTCAGCTACTATCCACAACATTCAGTACATTAACATGTCACACGAAGACGAACAGAATCGATCGCAGCACACATCTTGATAAAAATCTTGTCGAAACGTAGCAACAGCGATACCGGGACCTTCTCTGAAAGATATTATATCGATGCGAGAAAGGATATGGGTACAAAACAATCACAACGATCATGCTGGCCACCTTCATCGGTCATCGTCCGCCATCGTTCGTGTCTCTGAAAATCATCAACCATGTGGCCATCGTCCAAATGATCATGACCATGTACACGAGGATGATGCCAACGATGATGATGGTGAGGCTGATGTTGATGTTGATGTTGATGTTGTTGTTGATGATGATGATGATGATGACGATGACGAGGAGGAAGAAAACTATGATGATGATGATGATGATGATGATCATGATGTTGGCCATGATGATGATCCTGATGATGATGAAGATGAAGATGAGGATGATGAAGATGAAGATGAAGATGGTGATGAAGATGATGATGGTGATGACGGCGATGACGATGCTAATGACCATGACGATGATGCAGTGAAGATGGCGATGAGGAAGAATACGGTGACGGTAATGATGGCTACGATGACAGTAAATCGCTCCATGCCTTCCGTTCTTCATCATCATTATCATCATCTCAACATCGCTCGCCGACCAACGCTAATAATCCTACGCAAAGGCCACAAGCACATAAGAAGCGCGGGCAGTACTATTGAACTATTTCGTCGTCGTCATCATTCTCGTCTGGGTAGGTCGACGTTACCATCATCATCATCATCATCATGATCATCATCAGCAGCATCATCATCATCGTCGTCAAAATCATCATCATCAGGACCGCCGTGCTGTTCACGTCGTCGCCATCAATGACATCGGCAATGGCAACAGCCGCAGCATCGTCGTCATCACTATGACCACTGCCATCTCCAACGCTACGACGGCCGCAGCATCACGGCCATCATCAGGCGACATCACTACTATCTTAACCATGACCGCTACACCAGCATTACCTTCTATACTAACCAGTTGCGGCTCAAAGACCATCTGGGCCTGAGAGACCACTTGGACGGCTCCCGGTCGGTCGTTGCCCAGCTGGCTTCGGATATTCCTGGGCTTCATGGCAGAATGTCTGCGGATAGCCCCAACCCAGTGTTGAAGCCGGAACATGACGAAACCGGCATGAGAACGCTAACCGCAACAACAGCTATCGCCCCCCCTGCTCCATAATATGCCACAATCCATGCAACCAAGTTGCGACATACCACATGCTGCGCACGCTTGAACTTGCAACAACAGAAATATGCAAGCAGAAAGACTATAATATACATAGTATCGTATAAGGTAATAAGGTATAAGATGATATAGTAAAACATAACATAACATAATGTATAGATATGTATACGAACTGCATAGCAATATGGGCATACTGTATTTACTGTATCACAAAACTCCAGCGCTCTCCTCTGCTTTCGTGGCCGAGATTCTGCTCCCAGGCTGCTTTCTCGCCACTCCCGGCGGCAGTGATCACAAAGGGCTCCCCGATGAGAATGGGCAGGTCCTGGGCCATTCCTTCAGAGAAAAAGGCTCTTAAACAAGTTAGGCCGTTGGATTTCCGGGGCTTTAAGGGGTGCTGGGGTTCAGAGTCTTTAGGACTTTGGTGATAGGCTGTGGGGTCTTGGTTTTGGGTTTGCGGGTTTAGTGTCCCGTGCTTGGCATTTGCATATTGGGAATGTTGTACATTCAGACAGATTGGTGATGATAATGACGGCGATGCCGATGATGGTGAGGGCGGCGGCTAACTCTTCCACATCACAGCGCTGCTGCTACTGGCTGTTGGCGTCAGTTTTCTTGTTCATCGAACGACGGTTCTTGATGCTACTACACTCATGGTTTGTTGAGGGTTCAGATAGTAACATAAAGCATCGTCACCGACCATCGACGCCACCACCAGCAATGCTACTACTGCACTTCTACCGGTTGTTGATGCTTCCCTATATTATCCGCCCAAAAGCTCGCAGTACATCGCGTACCGAACTTTCACGAAAACAGGCTTCAGAGTTACCAAGGCCAAGACTCGGATTGGCTCCAAAGACTCCGACTTCACGGAAAGGATTCCCCGCTCAGAGCTCTGGAGCACCTCCACTGACCACTGGCCAGCTGCCTCATCGCCCTCCCGGACCTGCTTTCTACGTACAGCCACTAGGTTGTCTTACCCTGCAAGGTTGTAAAGACCTTAAACCTAAAAGAGTGCCCAGAAAAGGATATCAACCGCCGACCTTGACGGGTTTGGCGTTGTCATGCTCATCCCTATACACTGCGTAGCCGCCTTGTTTCAGGCCGTTCTGCGGAGCCATTGCCGCCTTGTGGAGTCTGTGAGAGGGGTTTAGGGCCGCTTGCAGAAACTCTCGGTTCAGCATGTACTGGATGTATCGGAGCTGATCATTCCTCTCACAGTCTGGAGGATGGGTAGGCGAAGAACAGAGTTGAACAAGCTGTGGAGAGCAACCATCCAACTCCCAGCGCCCTTGGATCCCATCAGCTACCGTATACTTGGTGTACCCTCGGCCCACATCCACCACAATCGTTGGGCATGCGGCAGAGCGCGCTTGGAGACGAGCTCGCCAGTCGATGCCCACGGGTGTGGTGGTACCCTCTGCAAAGGCTAAGAGAGCGCCTGATGGTGGCCAGCATGTCCGCATGAAGAGGTGAAACCAAAGCTCTGCATCCATGGCCTCTTGCGAAAAAAGCTTGCAGGTCGGTGCAAAGCGTCCCACATCCGACATTTCCAAGCTCCACACGACTCCGGCGCAGACCTCGTGAGGCATTTGAGCTAGATGGAGGCCGTTCATGCTGTCGCCCGGATCTTCCATCGAGAGGAAGCAGCACTGTGAATCCAACTCTAAATCTGTGCTTACTTATGATCTGTCCAGCTATCCTGTCCCTGTTGCAGGACCTTTGATGCTAGCTCAGAGGTGCCTAGTTGCAGCTTGCTCTATCAAGAAGCGTGACTGATTAATCTTTAGCTGGCTTGAGCAGGAATGAAATACTGAAAGTCAGCAGCAGCACTTCAAACTGCGAGTCCAGCATCGCAAGGACTCTGAAGTCACCATGGCTGCGAGAATATCACTGCACTCAACCGTAAACCGCGCATACGGAATCAGAGCTCTGCTATACTCTGCTAAGTATGGCTATATAATTTAGAAACATCTTGCCTTTGCTCACTACCCCCTGGCATCCAAATCTTAGCCGCCTTTTCGCAGCTACCCCCCCCGGTCACCACGCGGCAATCTCAGAGCCCCTGCGCACGAGCTCACGATCGCCCTGGGCACCCAAAGAATAACAACCAGCAGAGGAGGCTTGGGCTTCGAACTCTGTAAGGTATGTCATAATATACATAAACAAATAAATGAATAAATAAAGAGAGAGAGAGAGAGAGATATATATATATATGTATATGCTTATATTATATTAGATTTTATGATTTCATATTATACTATATTTTGTTGTATGTATGATTGTATATATTGCTGTATATATTATGGTGGATTATAGTATACTATAGTATGTTATTCTATGTTATACTATGGTAGTCTGTCAACTTTGCTCATTGCCATCGTCAAGTCAAGCGGGACGTCTGGGCTTCGGAATGCTGGCTTTGGGTTCGGGCTGGAGCCTTGGTTTAGCGTTTAGGGTTTAGGGTTTAGGGTTTTGGGTTCGGGCTGGAGCCTTGCTGGATGTCCGACTTGGGTTCAGGGAAGTAGGGTACTCGGAGGATCATGGGACTTAGTAACTAGGGTTATAAATAAGGTAAGATAATTATAACCCCAATTAGGGTACTTACCACCTTACTTACTAAGTCCCATGATCCTCCAAGTAGGGTTTAGGGGCCTGCTGTCTTGTTGTACCTATAGTCTCCATTGTAGTTCCTTTTTGGGGATACCTTATAAATTCCTTAATATATAATTGGTTAAACCAAAAAAAGGAACTACAATTGAGACTCTAGGTAGTTGAAGGTATTGCTGCCATGCCTCAGCGCAAGGTCTGGTCGTAATGCTTCTACTTGGAGGACAATGGGACTTGGTAAGTAAGGTTATAAGTACCCTAATTGGGGTTATAATTATAGTTACCTTATTTATAACCCTATTTACTAAGTCCCATGATCCTCCAAGTAATCTTATAGTTATGCCTATGTACAGCTCCTAAGGGACAAAGGCGAAATGACCCCTTATTGCGTGGGCTTGGGCAGACGTTTTGAGTCTCGGGGTTTTAAGGTCTAGTGGTTTTTGTGTTTTGGAGGTTTAAGGGCGTTTTGCATGTTGCGGTGTTGCTATGTGGCCTGAACGGGTCTAGTGTCTCAACGTTTACGGCGGGGTTGGATTTGGGAGTTTCCGAAAATAAGGGTACCCTATTTTGGGGTCCTAACAATAAGGATCCTACTATTTGGGGTACTATATTAGGGTCCCCTATTTTCGGAAACCCCCATTTGGGAGTGTGGGTCGAGGTTCTGTTCACTTGGCTACACAAGCTCCGAAGATGAAGCCTGGCCATCAAGCAAGCGTGGTCTCCCACTGTGAAAGATGGAAGGGGCTGAGAATATGCATATTATAGTATATATTATAGTATATATTATAGTATATATTATAGTATATATTATAGTATATATTATAGTATATATTATAGATTATAGTATATTAAGTGTATGTTATACTCAATCCCATTGACCTACGGCTCTGCCAAGCAGCGCGGCTTGCATTCAATGATCGTGTCGACCAGGCCGAAATCCTTCGCCTCTCGATTTTGGGGGGTTTGCTGTAGACATTGCTTGCTCCGAACAGGCCGCTGACCCGAACACCAGCCCCTGCGGATCCTCCGTCACCGACATGTAGCGGTCGCGCGCCACCATGTCTGAGACCATGGCCTCAACTCTGCAAACCGTAGCTTTCGCAAGGAGCATTTCCGGAAAGGCATTCCAGGCCGGTGGCTTACATTGCAATGTGATTCGTTTACTTTCGTCTAACACCCAAACCAAACCAAGGACGGGATTTCCAAAACCGCAGTCCCGGCGATGCTCCAACCGAGGCCGATGAACACACTTCTCATAAGCACCGCATTTTTCGTGCTGCGCTCATGACACTCGTGCATTCTCGTGCATGCCACTCTATGTCCTCGGGTTCACCCCCGCCAAGCCCTGCCCTTTCCAAAGCAAAGCCAAGGACAGTTTGTGGGGTTTCGAGTGCTCTACAACTTTAGTTGCCAGTTTTGATTCCGGAACCACTCAACCCGCCTGAACCCCAAAGACGCAAAAACTTAAGCCATAACACCAGGACGTCAGCGCCCCTACAGCGAAAACCTCTACAGCGCCCGACCCCGCTAACCGCCAACCCCCCCCAAAACAAAAAGAAGCAACTCCGAACATTCCGCTCCCACAACCACAAGCCCGCAACCCACCACCCAAAAGCCCAAACATCTCTTTGGATAACACAGACGGGGCTGAAGTGTCCTAGGTACAAAAAAAAGCATGGCGCGACCTTATGGAAAATATTCCTTTTGCCTTGAAGCAATCCTGATATAAGCTGTGTAGTCCCCTTGATAATGACCCCGAGGCAAGATCACATGGGGGCTTCCTAAAATAAGGGACCCTAATATAGTACCCTAAATAGTAGGATCCTTATTATAAAAGACCCCCAAAATACGGTACCCTAAACCCTAAACCCCTAAACCTATAAACCCTAAACCCCTAAACCCCTAAACCCTAAACCCTAAACCCCTAAACCCCTGAACTCTAAACCCTAAACCCCTAAACCCCTGAACACTAAACCCTAAACCCTAAACCCCGAAACTCTAAACCCTAAACCCTAAACCCTAAACCCCTAAACCCTTAAACCTTAACCAGCAGCTCCTACCGCGGTGTTGCCTCTAGAG